ACCATGACCTGGGTCGCTGAGAATCTCAACAAACTTTAAAAAGAAGAGTGCCCTCTAGCCTCAGCTGCTTTCAAATGGGTTATAACCAAGCACCTGGCCTGGGGTGAGTATGCTAAAAGGCAAATTCTGGTTGAAGAAGACAGTCCTGCACATTTCTAAGCAGCAAGCTATACAGGGACTTATAGACCAAAGCCAGAATTTTACATGCATCTAGAAACTTATTGGCAATAAATGCAGAATCTGTAGCAGAGGTGTGAAATATAGCTGTGGTATAATGCCTGTCTCTAAACAGACAACTGCATTTTGTGCATATTTTAGTTTCCAAGTAGTTTTCAGTTTCAAATAGTCCACATTGTAACACTTCTATTTAGTGATTACCTTGGTCAGTGAATGTTTGCATATACAATGGTAATAAAAAATAATAATTTTCTAACCAATGCTTTTACAACCAAATTGTGTATACTTGTCAACAATGCATGCTACAGTAAGAGTTATGCGGGCATAGCTGTACAGGATAACTTTATTTCAATGAAATGACAGTAAACAGCATTTTTTGCAGTATCTCTGTTTCTCTTTCAGTCTGGTCTTGCTCTTACTAGATGATCTAGTCATTCAAATGAAACTCAGTCGCTAAACACAGAGTGGGTGTAATCCAAATGTTTATTAATGAAGATGATTTGCTGTTTTAAGCTCTTCATGCTGTGGTTAGGGCTGCAAATGGCACACCAGCTAAAACTGAGTAAATACTCTCCTGGCCAAATCCTTTGCCTTGCCCAACCAGAAGTAGCTATGAATTTATAAGCAAGCCACCAAGGACAAACCTGCTTCCTCAAGGGTAGTGCTTTCCCTTTGAGGAACAAGAATTACCAATGAATCAACAGTAACTCCATTTTACTTAGGCCATTTTTTGACCAACCAGACATCTACAAGACAAGATATGCAAGTCAAGACTTCTGCAGCATCCCCAGTATAGCAGCTTGATAGCAATAGCATACAAATGATGTTAATTCCCAAACTGATGAATAATTTTTCCAGTAGTTTCTTGCACATGACATACAATGGGTGAGGAAGAATCAAACCTTTTGGTATTTAAAGGCAAAGAAACCCCAAACTGACTTCTCCTATAACTGGAGACTGGAAGTGATAACTAAACACTTATACTGAGTCTGACTCTGTTTAGTGAAATGCTGCAAGGAATGATACTGTCTCCTCTTCTATTTAACATTTTTAACACTTAAGCTGCTAGGTGATGTCATCTGAGGCTTGGGTGAGGACATCTCCAGTCTGGGCCAGCCAATGATGATGTGAACATTCTGTCTTTATCTGGAGACTGTGGGGGGTCTGGATGGGGAACAACAAGTTTCAATTCAAGTGGCTTTGGGTTTTAGGACCTCTGCATTCTGGAGTCATTTCACTTCTTGTTCTGGATGGGGACTGCAATACCCCAGATAGAACCTATGTATAGTTTGGGAGTACTCTTGGATTTGAAGTTCTTATTCAAAGAGCTGGTGTCAGCAATGGCTAGGAGAGTTTTGGCACAGCTACATGTTGTGCACTGATTGTTCCTTGACCAGGCTCTGTTCACAATCACTCATGTTGTGATCAATTTCCAGTTGGACTACTGTGATGGATGGGGCTGCCTTATAGAGCATTTAGAAGCTTCAGCTGGTGCAAAATACAGCAGCAAAGGCATGTGGATGCTTTTCGTTTAGCACCTGTGGCATCTCTTTTCTGAATGCTTCCGGTTCAATTCAAGTAGCAGATTGTGACCTATAAAGCCCTACATGTCATGGGGTTGGATTACTTGTGGGATCATCTCACCAAAATTGTATCTACTTCTCCTGCAAGATATAGGAAGAGAGATATGCTCCAGGTCCCATCAAAAAATGCCATCTGACTGATCCCTGAGGGAGAGCCTTTTGTATCATGGTGCCCAACCTCTGGAATGTCTTTCCCCTGGGGACTATACTTGCCCCAATCCTGTTGACTTTCCATAAGGCTCTTAAAAACTGGTTTTATTGTCGAGTTTGGGGCCTGTGGTGTATGATTGAGACTGTATCCTGAATATGTTGCATACAGTACTGATTTTATTTTGGCTCTTACTCTACATTTATTATATTTATTGTTGTGCTATAATGTTCTTATTTTGTTTTTATTCCATATTAGCCATCTAGAGCAGTGTTTTTCAACCACTGTGCCGTGGCACACTAGTGTGCCGTGACATAGTGTAAGGTGTGCCGTGGGAGAATTACTTTATATATAGTCAATATAGGCACAGAGTTAAAAAATTTTAACATTTTCTAATGGTGGTGTGCCTCGTGATTTTTTTCATGAAAAAAGTGTGCCTTTGCACAAAAAAGGTTGAAAAACACTGATCTAGAGTAATAGGGTTGAGATGGGTGCCCATCAGTAGTGGCTTCCGGATCCCGTTCCAACCGTACCGGTTGGAACGGGCCCGGCGTCGCCGACATGGATGCATGCGGCGCACACGCACACGCATGCGTTGTAGCTACAAACTATGCTGCCGCAAGCCTCCGTGATGCTCCAGCTGCTCAGCGGAGCATCGCACAGGCGCTGTACACACCATGCCTGTGCGCAGAAGCGCAGAAAGCTTTAAACACGGAAAGGAGTTCAGGCGGGCAGGTGGGCCCTCTGGAGCACCGTACCGGAACTGTATCTGGTGCTCCAGGCAGGCTCCGGTATGCCCATACTGAGGCGTACCACCTGCAACCCACTACTGGTGCCCATATAAATTGAATAAATAAATAAGCCTGAATTCTGATTGAAAGGAATTCTTCTAACATCTTTTAAGGAATTCTGTGTATTCGGGAGGCCATCGACTTACAACCAATCATTTACTGACGGTCACAACAGCACTGAACAGTGACTTATGACCATTTTTCACACATACAGCCATTGCAGCAACCCCATGGCCATGTGATCAAAATTTTGACACTTGGCAACTGGCAAGTATTTATGATGGTTGCAATGTCTCGGAGTCATATGATCACCCTTTGATAAGCAAAGTTAATGGGGAAACGAGATTAATTAAACAACCATGTTACTAACTTGACAACTGCAATGACTCGTTTAACAACTTTGGTAAAGAAAGATAGTAAAATGGGGCAAAACTCACTTAACAACTGTGTGGCTTCGCAACAGGAATTTTGGGCTTAATTGTGGTTGTAAGTCGAGAACTACCTGTATTATGGCCATGGTGCCGTTATAACATTCTTATTTACAAAAGAACATATACTTTATAATTTTTTAAAATTAAAAATTTAATTTTCTTATAATTATTTATTTATAATAAAAATGTTTATATTTTACATGGTGTAACATTTAACAGTTGCAAACATCTTCAAACAAAAAAGTCAAAGTGAAATGCAAAGTGAGTTTAATGGTTTTCTGAAGTTATCTATCTCAGGGAATTAAATTATACCACTCGAATATACAAAATAAATGAAAAATGGCATAAAATGCATAGGAAATAATCCATGTTAATAATTGGACAATCATTTGAGAGGGAGAGTATAGGATCTCCTGCCTTGAGCAGAGAGTTAAACTAGAAGACCTCCAAGGCCCCTTCCAGCTCTATATTCTATGTTCTTTTATGATATACACAATGGCTCTATGTGATTTTTAAGTAGTTTTTAAAAATGTATTTATAGACACAGGCTATATTATGACAATGTCTATAAAGATATGGAAAACCACATTTAAAAATAGATTAAAAGTTTGTATTGAGGGATAATCTTGTATTTAAAATATATGAAGCTCTTTTTCAGGGATAAATTGTAATTCATCTTACACTGTCATTGCATAGGAATAGTATTCTTCACTTGAAGAAGATTTAAAAACATTCACTGAACTTAAAACTTTTTAAAACTTTGATTTATATCCAGAATAAGTTTAAGACTATTTAGCAGCCAGATCTTCAATCCTTTTTCCATTTAGCTATGAGCATATCTAAATATAGATAAATAGTGGAGGGGGGTTGTATGTTCCAGCATAACTCTGGAATGCCTTGAGCAATTTCAAACAAACTTGGTACACAGATGACTTACTCTCTGGAAAAAAATATTGTGGAGGTAAGACACCCATAACACCCATTGGTGTGTGTGTGGGGGGGGGGTGTGTTCTGTTAAGATACAGCCTGTTGTGTCTTAAAATGATTTCCACTGTACTGCCGTAAAATGACTTCTACTGTACAGCGCAGTAGAGTTACCATGGTAACAGCTTCACAGTACTCCACAAGGGAGCTCGATCTGATCAGGGGGGAAATCCAACATTAGAAATTATGTTTGGTCTGAACATTTCCCCCCTATAAATAAATACCCGGGCAACACCAGATTATTGGCTAGTTCTAAATAAAAGATGAATAAAATTGGCTTGTCACTTGGTTCTGAGAAAGTGATTTAGGCTACAAAAGTGATGTCACATAGCCAACAGTTTATAATGTGGGCTATTTATTAATTTTTAACTAGGCGAAACAATCAAATTTTGATATAACATTCTTTGGCTGTTCATAGTAGCACTGAACAATCATTTTTCTTCAACATTCATATATAAACTCTATCCCACAAACCTCTGAACAATTAATATATTTATTAGAATCTGCAGCTTAATTTATGTTATCAACTATAACTGATTCACACAGGTGGTCCGTTACAGGTAGAGTATCAAAATTCATAAATATTAGCCGTGATATATACATACGGTATTCATACATTATTTTCACTGTTAGAATATTTATATGGCTTCTATAGTACAACAAGCCTGCATAGTGCAAATTGTTATGAATTGAATAAAACTAATAAGCAATTGCAACCCTCTAAAAGACAATAGTAATGCCATTTTAAAGATAAAACTCTAACCTACATTTTCAGAGTTCTGGAAATAAGACAAATTAAAATTCAAATGTTTTTAAAATATAAAACTATTTTCTTTTCTTTTTTTTAACTTCTTCTCATTTCTTTTAATTTAAAATGCTCACTTACTTCTCTCCAGGGTCCCTTTTGGTGGGAGTTGTGGCAACTGTCTACCCCTGCGTCCTGCCACCGGAGTACTTGATGGGCTTGTTTGGACTGACCCCGAATGAGCATGTGACCTACAGGACACATCAACAGAAACCCATCAATTGCAACATATATGTATTCTTATGTAGTTTGAGAACAAAGGAATGATTAATGGCTTTTGTTCATGTTGAACTTTAATTGAAAGGATGACAGTTCAACCTTAAAAGATTTTTAAAAGCGTAGTTACCAATAAGATTTATCTGGAAACTAAGGGAAGCGATACTAAAAAGATGGCACAGAATATATTTTGTAACTGCATCTGTTAACCCTATAAATAAATCTATGTAGAGGTATATGCATACTGAGACATACTGAAAGAAAGTTTAAAAAAAAAGAAGTATATGTATAAATATGACTATTTTCAAATTCCAACTAATATTGAGATGATGATTTACACAGCCATGAATTTGAATGACAGGCAATAAAACAAAAGTATATTTCCAATGAGTGAAATAATAACATCATTGTTACTGATTCTTATAATTCACTATAGAAAAGCAAAGAAGCCAGACAATAATCTGATTTGGACAAAATTAGTTTAACAAATATCTTCTCCAACTTCATTCCATTATTCATATATTTTTTTAAAAAAAAAATCAACACTGTAATCATGAATAAAATACATTACAAAAACAAGACAAATGCAAAACATGCAGAGAGCAAATAAGAGAAAACAGTGATTAATATATAAAATTAGTACAAATTTAAGAAACTACTTTTAAAGTATCATTTGATGTTATGATTATTATTATTCCATAAGCGATGTCTGATGATCACATTTAATTACTTCTTCTGTAAGAGAAATACATGAGAAATTATGAAGTGTTTGGGAGTAAGAAATCACACAGGATTCCTAATAAATGAGAGGTCACAAACAAATGTAAGTAATTGTTATTAATTATTGTTAGTAAACAAATTACAATGGCAGCCACACCATTATATCCCGGTGGAATATAAGTAGTGTGTTGACGTTGGCAGGGTTAGTATCTACAACTACTGGTGATCAGCCAATGATGAAAGGAAATACTATTGAAGTTTTTGAAAAAATAAAAAAAGTGAGCTGGTGGGGCAGGATTAATCCATCTGTTTCACCTCGATAATGCAGGTGAGGGAGGGGCAGATCTTCCAGTCATTAATGAAGGCATCGATCTCATGAGGTTTGACTCAGGACGCTCAGTGGATCGGGAGCGGGGGCTGGGCCGCTCTAGCACTGGACGCTGTTCTGTTGATCTGGATCTTTGATATGGTAGTCTAGGGTCCCAATTCCTGTAATGTTAGTCAAAAAGCAGCTCAATTGACTTTTATCTGTGGTTATGCATTATGCTGCAGCACATTGGATTTGGAGCTATCCAACATAAGCTATTTTAAATAACTTTTTAAAGTTTTCTTCTTGCTAACATTAAGTGGGTATGAAGAAGTATACTTCCTTAAAATGGTCATGTGAAGAAAATTATTTAGACAGTTTAATAATGCAGCGGAATAAAATCTATTAATTTTGCATTAAATCGCATTGCTATTTTGGGAAAATTCAAAAGAAAAGATGCAGTTCTCTAGAAATATTAAACAGATTATTATTTTTTTTAAAAACCCATATATTCCATTATCTGTCAGCAGTTATTTATGGTGATTCATTTCAACAGGATCACTAAATATGAACAAAGGATTTTTGAATCACAAAAATCCTGAATAACGTTTTATCATTTACTATGTATTAGTTTAACTGTCAGGTATAACTGTAGCAAGAATTAAACAATTTTAAATGAGAACAAATGCATTTGTTATTGAATAAAGTATTTGGCATATGCACGTATCGCATAAGCTGTAATTTTCTGCAAAAAAAAAAAAGATCCAACACATCAGATTCAAGGACATCCAAGAAACCAAATGGAAAAATATGGAAAATATTCAAACAATTATCCAAAATTGCTCTAGCAGAAATTAATTTTATGCACTGGCTGTAAACTGGTTCTATAATATAGCAGGATTTTTACAGTGTGCTATTCAAAGATCCCTACAGTCTATAAAGTTTTCTCTCAATAAAGATAACATATTGACTGAGAAAACAACTAAACACTGTCATACATTTATTTTCACTCATGAACTTAGCTTCAACTGAACATTTAAAGTTTCACATTTACAGAAAACAAAATTAAAATTTAGTATTAAAGAGAGCCAAAGTACACTAGATAGTTGTATTTCAGTAAAGCATCATCTAGACTAGAGAAACTCAATGTGTGTGTGGGGAGGAGTGTCTGATTCAATAGTTAATTTAGGTTCTTTTAAAGCAATTGAAAAATGTGGTACGATATTGTTGCTCATTTATTTACTGTCAAAGAGAAAAAAAGTGAGAGTCTAATATACACAGAAGTGATATACATTCATTTAAAAAAACACGATAAAATAAAATAATATAGAAGAGATTCTATGGTCAAATTCTTCCCTGCTGATGCAAATTTCAATATAACCAAATGTAGCTATTTTCATGAAGATATTAGTGAACTGATCCTGTGATAAAAATATATATTACAAGTAGTCCTTGACTTACAACCATTCCTTTAGTGGCCATTTGAATGGCACTGAAAATAGTGACTTACAATCGGTCCTCTCACTTACAATTGCTATAGTATCCCCACAGTCACGTGATCTAAATTTGGGCACTTGGCAATTGACATTAATTTACAATGATTGCAGGGTGTTGGGGTCATATTATTGCCATTTGCAACCGTCCAGCTGGCTTCCAACAAACAAAGCCTATGCGGAAGTAGGATTTCCTTAATGACTTGCTTAACAAGTGCAGTGATTTACTTAATCATGCCAAAACAACAACAACAATAACAATCGGGCATGACTCACTTAAGAACTATCTTGCTTAGCAACAGAAATTCTGGTTCCAACTGTGGTCACAAGTCAAGGTCTACCTAAACTTCACCTTAAGGCCAACTAAAGAGATGTTATTAGAGTGCTAGATATAATAAAAAGAACAATGCAGGAGAACTGTGTCTTCCTTTGAGCATTTTAATAAGACATCAAACCTCACTAAAGTAAAGATTTTCCGATGAAGAACAGATACCAATATTGATATAAATAACATAGACATCAATAAAGATATATAGAACAGCTCTCTATTGCAAAAGTTCAACACTTACAACCGATCTCTTTGCAAATCCAAATTAACAACTGATTTAATGTCCCTTCCATTTGATAGTACATGAAGGCCTCACAGAAAAGCTCAAAATAATAATTTCACTTTATGCTCTAAACAGGAGGCATGTTTGATTGTAAGATCAGCAAAGAAGGGTTAAGTGCCTATCTAGAACCAGGCTTTTAAAGACAGATTTCAGTCTGACAACAGACTAAAAGGTAAAGGTAAAGGTTGCAAATATGTGCTAGCCGTTCCCAACTCTAGGGGGCGGTGCTCATCTCCATTTCAAAGCCGAAGACCCAGCGCTGCCCGAAGACTTCTCCGTGGTCATGTGGCCGGCATGACTAAATACCAAAGGCGCACGGAACACTGTTACCTTCCCACCAAAGGTGGTTTCTATTTTTCTACTTGCATTTTTACATGCTTTCAAACTGCTAGGTTGGCAGAAGCTGGGACAAGTAACAGGAGCTCACTCCGTTACACAGCGCTAGGGATTCAAACTGCCGAACTGCCAACCTTTCTGATTGACAAGCTCAGCATCTTTGCCACTTAGCCACAGGATTACCTTCTTACCAATCAAATGATTGGGGGTTTTATTGGTAAAATATTCGGAATGCCTGTATTCTGAATGCCTGTATTCATAAAATAGTTTAAGCACACTAAACTGCATGAGTTGAAATGCAGAGCTCTTGACATGCCAATATCAAAGGTGTATAAGGAAGGAGAGATACCCTTGCAACAAGCACAGAAGAACACTATAAAATAATTTTGAACATTTCCTTAACATGGGGGGAGGCAATACATTTAATTAGAATTTATGTATTTTTATCCTGCCTTTATTATTTTTATAAAACAACTCAAGGTGGTGAACATACCTAATGCTCTCTTCTCTTTTATTCTCCCACAACAACAAGCCTATAAAGTAAGATGGACTGAGAGAGAGAGTGACTGGCCCAAAATTACCTAGCCAACTTGTATGCCTAAGGTGGTACTAGAATTCACAGACTCCTGGTTTCTAACCTGGTGCCTTCAACCACTACACCAACTGACTCTATTTAGTTGCAAATCTGAACAAGAATGTGGCAGCCCAGCAGCAAATTACCAAATTGCACATAGTTCCCTGAATGTAGGCATTCAATTTCTGCAAATTACTTCAAAAAGTAAAAATAACTTAGAATACCACTGCCTCATATTTTAACCAGAAGAGTTTGCAAATGAAAAAAACCTAAAGTGTCTCTCAGAGTCCACAAACATTTTAAAATTTATCTGAAAGAATGGAATAAAAATAATGGAGAAAAGTTGATTTTATTTGCTATCTATCTACTATCTATGAAGAAGCTTAATATGCAAAAAGAAGTCCCGATTTTAGAAAGGAAGACACCATATGAAGATCAGAGAAAATTGATTTTTTCAGTAATAACCAGCTACCCTAAACCATTTTGGAGTAGACAATCTCATTTTTAAAAAATGACATTCCTTTTAATGTCTAATCTATTTCTATTACTTCTTGAATTTTAAAAACTTTTAGAGAAAATTCTTGTTTCACTTTATGTTGAAATGCTTTCCAACAATATAAAGTTAATTTAAATCCTACCAATTCATGCATAATTTATGGTTTGACTAATGACTATGTAAAGCTATGGAAGAATAAAAACAAAGTAGTCACAGTTATTTTTTGCATTATGAAAATTATTTATACATTCAATTATCTTATCAGTTGGTTGAAGATCTATACAATAACAGGAAAATAGTACTGTACATATTTATACTTTTTAACTGAGCATAAGGGATTAAAAGTCATTTAGGATTTAGGTATTTGCCAAGTCCTTCAAGAGAACAAAATGAAATTAGTTAAAAAATATTTTTAGCTAAAATGTCTCATGATAAGAAATGAATTTGCAAAATTACTTTGCTAATGTTGAAATAAAACAATGGAGATTATCTTGAGCTTTACATTTTTTATATTATACATAAGTAGAAAATTGCAGACACAAAAGAATAAGTGGAACAAAGTTGAATTCATCAATGCCAAAGTTTTTAAAGTATAGACTCTTAAACTAAACAAACAAGAACCAGAAAGAGGAAACAATAAAAACAATTCATTGCTTTCCAAAAATATTTATCTGCCTTTCTTTTGCACTGCATTTTGTTTTCTCTGCATGATACCTAGCATGTCATATGTGTTCAAATTAAACAATGAAAGCAATAAATGTCAAATAAAAACATTAAAATGCAGCAAATTATGGTGCAATTTAATGATCACATAAATACAACGTTCTCTAGTTTCTAGAGACAATGGAAGCACTATAAGAGAAAACACACAAATTATGCCTAGGAATCACCAGCTTAATCTAACCCAAATACTTTTTACTGGGAATACCTGTCAGTATCTGGGGAATACTGTTGGATTTCAATCCTTGGACATGTTATTCTTCTATTAGCTATTGGAATTTTGCTGGTGGTCACAGATATAAGATAACCTGTTAGCATAATGTTAATAACTACTGGTATAAATAAATCTCTAAAGTTAACCAACTGTTAAGCTGCAATAGCAGTAGCATTTAAGACTTATATACTGCTCCATTTATGATTTACAGCATACTCTGAGGGGCTTACAAATCTCAGCATATTGCCCTCAACAATCTGGGCCCACATTTTACTGACCTCGGAAGAATGGAAGCCTGAGTCAACCTTGAGCTGGTCAGGATTGATCTCCTGGCAATGGGCAGAATTAGCATGCAATACTGCATTCTAATCACTGCGCCACCACGGCTCAGAAACAAAGTTAAAATAACACAATATTGTGTAGCATGGCTGAATTACTTTTAAAATAATAGTTACCAATTAAAGTTTATACTGCTAATTCAAATACCCAAAATTTTACACACACACACACACACACACANTTGCGTCCTGTGCATGCGTGGAAGTGCAGAACCCGTCAAAACTGGGTAAGGACCGCGGGTGGGCGGGCGCGCCCTTCGCCGTTCCCGGAAGTTACTTACTTCCGGGTTCGGCGACCAACCGGTTTGCAGTGACCGCCGCGAACTGGTTGAAACCCACCCCTGACACACACACACACACAATTAAGGGATGGCTCAGCCAAATTGCACCACACATCAGC